AGTTTACCTGTAATGTTAGCGTAAGAGAAAGATAAATAAATAAAAAAAAAAAAAAAAAAATGAAAGTAGCAATCCGAATTACTGGGACGACGTCGACATGTTTGGACTTCTTTTTCTAATATAAGTGAAATTATTGCATATTCAGGGCATGAATATGGTTTTTCAGACCATAAAGGAGTTTTACTTTCGATAATATCAAGTGAAGTATATTTAAACCATTTACATATATTCCATTTACTTTACTTATTTCATTTACATGGAGGAAATCTGAATATATTTACACATGTATATATATTCAGTTCTCCTCTAATTACTATGGATTTGGTTTTATCTTTTCGGTCTAATAAATTTAGCAATTTTCCAAGTTGATCATATACCGTGAGGCTTTCTCTATCACTGTTTGCCCAATACAAAACTACCAAGATCAAGTTTAATGACATTATATCTAAAGACGCTCCGCACAACCTACCAGATTTTCAAGTAAAATACAGAAACCTCCATCCTGTCTATGTCTGCAGAATGATAACACTACGTGGAGCCTATTACATAATTCAATTTATTTTCATTAAGGCAAGATTCCGTAATGCATACTGCTTTGATATAAGGTTTATTTTCTGACCTTGTTTCTAAATTATTCTATGTATATGTTCTATATATATATTGAATGTTGATATTACCAACACTCAATATATCGTATATAGCGCGTATCACTCTTTCACATGTTTCTTCTTCTGTTTCCCAATAATTTTCCGGAAGATCATGTAACACGAAATTCTTGGATAATTCACCGTTCTAAATAAACATTTATTTTTATTTTTTGTATTTTATTTATATGCAGATTTTTTGAAATATTTTTGTTTCTCCGATTTTAACTTTTAAAACTATGAAATTATTTATTTCAACCATATTTCAACGAAATTCTTTTATTTCACTTCCAGTCCGTCACTTCAAGCCCTATGACTGAAAATCCCTACTAATATTATATATGCGAAAGTAACTTTGTCTGTTACGTTAATTCACGTCTAAACCGTTGAGCCAATGTTGATGAATTTTAGTACATAAATGGGACCTAGTAGAATAATGTCATTCTACTAGGTCCTATTTATTTCTGTAGCCTATGTAGGCTACTTTTTGTCACAAAAATAAATATTAACGAGGGTGAAATAGGGGATGAAAGTTCATATGGAAGAACCAATAAAATACCTCCGTTACCATACTGGGCTGCCAAAGGTCAACACGCAAGACCTACATTTATTTCCCTCGTGAGTTTGGATGTAATTTGTGACTGTCTTTGTGTGTCCATGGGACTCTCAATACAGGATTTCCCTAGTGCTGGGCTATGATTGTGTATGCGTTATTATTATTATTAGTAAAACTATGAAAATTAGTATAGTGCAGTGGGCTACTTGGTACTTCACCAAGGTACTTATTCTACCATTCGCGAACACCAGCTAATCGTTATATTAACAAGGAGCCAAAGTGTTACTGTGAACTTTGAGTCGACTCGAGAATTACATTATTAATTGCGAACGTATTGGATCAACATGTTCACAGAGTTGTTTTTGACGTAGAGAATAAATTATGTAGATCTCTCCTAAATTCAGAATTTTACAGATGAACGAAAAGACTAAAATAAACATAATATCTGCAATTATTAAGCTATTAAATTCGATACATACTCATTATTTTTAATGCTTTGTGTTTTTATTGCTGAGTAAAATAGACATACATATAAAATAAAGTGATGAAAAAATGCAACTATTTTCATGGTTTAGGTACTCTAGATTACGTAGGAGGGGTCGATCTTACCTATCACATGCGTATAAAATTAGTTTTTATTCATCGTTCACATCATCGTTATTTCCCATTATATTTTAATTATATTAGCACTTTCATTTTAATTGTTATTTGGGCGCTAATTACCAGTGATCGGATGTATTACTTATATTTATTATTATAAGACTGAAAATGTACAATTTGGTAATGACCGGAATATTTTTGTAGTAGTTTTTACCAAGTTTGTCTTTTCGGCGCCGTTTTATAAGGATTATGTATTCACCAAACATACCTCGGTTCCATCTTGATACAATGAATCAAATAATATCAAATCAAAAATTTCTTTGTGATACACAGGTTATAAAGTTGTTACAAGAATGAATTTTGAATCACTGTGATTCGTCTTATGGCATACAAATTTTTCTTAGTTTTAGTAATTCTCATGCAATAATTTGTAATAATATTATAATCATGCAGTCCAATTAATGCAGCCTAATACTAATGAAACATAATAACAATAGTAAAATATTAATCAATAACAAATTTAATAATATGAAGTTATAGTTCTCTTTTGACGATTGTTTTTTTTTAATCTCTGATTTTCTATTTCCACCATACAGCCATGGCGTCAAACGTCTCGGTGCAGGACTTTTACAAAGGCAGGAATGTCTTGATCACCGGAGGCACTGGTTTCATGGGCAAAGTGCTCATAGAAAAGCTTCTTTATTCCGTGCCTGACATCGGCAAAGTGTACGTGCTCATGAGGCCCAAGAGAGGCAAGTCCGTGGCACAAAGGCTGGAGGACATCCAACGCTTGGCGGTAAGATACGAAAATGTTAGGTACCGTTGCAAACGAGCTTAAATATAAGTATTCTATTAGAGCATGACCATCCACCCAGTGAGTATTTTTTTCATATAGTTAAATTCTCTATTCCAGACCACTAACTGTAGACTGATTCGCTTAAATTGTCAATTTCAGCTCTTCGACCGCATCAGAAATGAACGCCCTAGTGCCTTGAAGAAACTGAAACCAATCCAAGGCGACGTCCTGTTCGAAGAATTCGGATTGTCGAACATTGATATCGAAAATCTTTCAACAGAAATATCGGTCATATTCCACTTCGCAGCCACCCTTCGCTTAGAAGCACCTCTGAAGGACAACATTAATATGAATACGACGGGCACCCTTCGAGCTGTAAGAGTCGCTAAAAGGATGAAGAATCTAGCCATATTCGTGCATCTTTCTACTGCCTTCTGTTATCCCGATTACGATGTTTTGGGGGAAAAGGTTTGTAAAAAACTTTACTTAACAACTCTAGAGTATAGCTGCTTAAAAAATCTCTTGCTCTTGTATGTACCTGGCTATTTTGAAATATCGATGATTCGTAACAAAACTCATGATCCTTCAGATTTACGCGCCTCCTGCGAAACCCGAAGATGTGATGCGACTAGTTGAATGGCTGGACGACAAGCAGCTGGCCGTACTGACTCCATTACTGCTAGGCCCACATCCCAACTGCTACACTTATTCCAAGCGGCTTGCAGAGACCGTCGTGGCTGAAGCTTACGACGAAATTCGTGCAGTCATTGCCAGACCTAGCATCGGTTAAGAACTCCCGTTTTCGAATAGCTGTGCTAAACATAATTATTCTCTTTGTTATTGCTACTTGCTATTATTTTGTTTATAATCTCCAAAATTCCAATATACATGAACTTTTAAGAGCTTTTTTTCTACAGTGTGCCCCTCATTTAAGGAGCCTGTTCCTGGCTGGGTTGACAACCTCAACGGGCCAATAGGGCTCATGTTGGCTGCAGGTAAAGGCGTCATTCGCACTATGCTCGTGGATGGTTCCCTTCCCGCCCAAGTTATTCCCGTGGACACTGCTATCAACGCCATCATTGCTATTAGCGCTATTGAAGGCACTAGGAAAGATAAGTAAGAAACTTACCTATATTGTTTATGTCTATTTGCTACATTTTTCTTTTCTAATAGGGATTAGACACGCAGTCCTAATTGTCGTTTCTGTGTATACTACCAAAGTAGCGTCTTTATTGTACAGGTCTGAAGTAATTCCCATTTACAACGTGAACGCCGGTCACCAGAAAATGACGTCCTGGGGAGAAGTTCTGGAGTTCGCCAAACAATATGCTCGCAAAAACCCTTTTTCTTGGCCACTGTGGTACCCTAACGGTGGTATAACCACTAATCACACGGTCCACGAAATGCGCCGCATATTCTACCACCTGCTGCCAGCATACTTTATTGATCTTTTACTTCTGCTTACCGGACAAAAGCGATTGTAAGTAAATCATAATTACTAATATCTATCACCTTTAGCAATAATAATACATACAGTTAATAGCCACAAGTTCCTTGACCTAAAACATTGTTATTTTCGCTTACAGTATGGTGAGCATACAAGACAGAATCAGCCAAGGCCTAGAAGTGTTGCAGTACTTCACCTTGCGCGCTTGGAGCTTCCCCTGTCCAAATTACGATTCAATTCCCGAAAAATTGAACGAAAAGGAGCGAGAAATGTTCCAGACGGATGTAGGGACAGAAGACCGCGATAATTACATTAGGCAGTGCGTAGAGGGAGGCCGTGTTTACTGTTTCAAGGAAGATCCCACCAAGATTCCTCTGAACAGGATTTACCACAACTTGTAAGTTGCTCCATTCACTTTCACTCACACTCATTTTGTTTTAATTGCACTGTTCATTGACTTTCACTTCGGACAACCAATACCTATATTATACAGTTTTTTTTTCTTTTAAGCTTGTACTGCCTGGACTGGATCGTGAAAATCTTCTTCTGGCTCTTTATCATGTCGCTACTAGCCTCGTGGTTCGAACCCGTCAAGATTATATTCACTTACGGAGAGCCCGTTGTAAAACACTTGCCATTCCTTGGCCCCGCGGTATTCAACCACCAACAAGAATAAATCGACAGCAGGATTTAGACAAATGGCAGTAGACGTCCCTATTCTTACAAATATAAGCTTGTCGAATAGAATTTGCGTAAGTAAATACTAAGACTTGATGAAAATAAGACAGTTAGCTGGCGAAAAAAATGTTAATATCGTTCACTGGAAATGTTACTTGCAATATCGATGATACCTATAACGGATATATCAATATGAAAGGTCTCTCTAACCACGGTATGACTACTTATTTTTTCCCTCATATTTCGGAACGACGACGCGCGCTCCACGGTTATGAAGTTTTAAATTTTGAATTTTCGACCCGTATCGAAATACCGGGAAAACAATAAGTAATATCATGGTAAGAAACCTTAATTATAGTCATAATCATTTAGTGAATAATCACGGGTCTTCTAATGTAAATCTATAATGATATATTAAGTAAATGCATTTGCGGATACTTAAGAGGGAGCATGCCAAAAAAGTTTTGACGTTGGCTCCGCCCAAATTTGTGAAACAAATATATGTCTGAAGTTCGCGTGACATGCGACAGGAGACGTTGAATTTTGCGCATTAAAAGTACCAAATTCATTTTAGCGGAATAACTCTAAAACAAAAGGGATTAAAAAAAATCCGTAGTAACAGTTGTCGATCATGCATAAATATAATTAATTATCTCATTTTTGTCCTAATAACCTGTAGCATTTCGAGGACAAACCGAAAAAATGTCAAAATTAGAGGTCATTTCGTGATTTTTATCTATCGAGGAAACTTTATTGTTTTATGTTTCTGATTAATGTCTATGCTTGAATATATCGTGTAGTTACTCATACAATACTTTATTTTTAACTTTAAAGAGGATATACCCCTCTAAAATCAAATCGAAGATTAGGAATTTTTCCTCTGCTCCCTCTTAATAAAATCCCATAATACGGCAATGGTATATCGCTAAGCGCTATAAACAAAGAGGTACGGGTCGATATATTTTCGCTCTTAGAAGCTATTCAAACTGCACTTCTTGCCCATTTCATTTATTGTAAAATTAAGTTTAATGTGTACATTATTCATAGTAATCATAATAAACGAAAATGTTAAGGCATAAAGGCTAATAATTGCAAGCTAAAGAGCCATTCCATAAATTAGGACCAAAAAAATATGGTCGTTTTACACCGTGTGCAGGAAATCATGGATAACATAATATAGTGGAGGCTGGGGTCAATAAGAACGTTTTTGAAAAAAAATCGGTTAGTGTATCTGCATTTTACACTCTATCTTTTTCATAATATTATAGTTCAATTATCTGGCTACGTGACAACATTACTGATATTGCTTTTTACATGCACTTGCGTTAAGCAGGAGCTATTTAGAAATATTCGAAGAACGTTTCAATTGGCCTTGTGTCGGGGTCGATAGAAACGGTGCAGGGGGTTAGTTGAAACGACTTTTTCTGCTGACTGAACTAAGTTTTTCTTAACCTCGGATACCTTTAATGACATATATTATGGAGCTTTTGTTTTAACTAAAAAAAGATTTTAATCAAAGTATTCAGTTTTATTCGCAGAAATTCTTATTTTCTATATTATAAAAATGGTCCACGGATAACGCACACAATAACGCACACACTCAACATAGCCCCGCACTAGGGAAACCCTGTGTCGCGGGTGCCATGGACACACACATAGACAACCACAAATTACACCCAAACTCACGAGAGATATAATTGTAGGCCATACAACTATTTCTCTCGGCCCGGGAATCGAACCTGGGACCTCTGCGTGGCAGTCCGGCATGGTAACCGTTCGGCCACGGAGGCAGTTGAGGATAAGAAGCGATTCTTTCATATTTTTTAAACTAATCAGTTCAGTTTTAATTGTACTAACAGACAATGATCGGGTTTTGTACTCAACGAAATCAACATATTTAAGGTAACAATTCAAGAACCTAATATTAATTAACTTCGAAAAAATTAACAAAAACATTGGCACATACAAAATAGAAAATATACAGCATAAATAAATTGCTACGCCTGCTGTCCAAGCTACACGAAGCCACAGAATACATCTAAAACATTGCATTCCTGACGTGTTGTGGCTGTATGTGGTTTTTTATGCAAACTAAACAAACGTATTTTGACGTTTATTCATGTGCTTGCTCTTTTCTTTTTTCTTCCTCCAAGCTACTTTTTCACTTTTTAGCCTGTTTTCTGCAGTGTTTCTCTTCAGTCTCTTTCGTAATATCTTAAAATAAATAAATAGATTTAGAGAACTTAGCTTTGGAAACAAATGAACCGGGGTCAATAGAAACACGTTTCAGTAGACCCCCTATTTTGTTTCAACTCCCCCCACATCGTCGCTTCAAATATTTTGAACAGCAAAAAAGCTAAGCTTTGTAGGTAGATACTGACCACAACAAATGAGGATATTCATAGTAATGATGATTCTAAAATATACCAATGGATGAACAATAGTTTCTGATGAATACTAAAACTAAAAACAGTAAAAAAAACTTCCTTTTTGTGTTGATAAATCGTTGTGCCCACGTAAAAAGGTGTCACGCTAGAAGCAACACGCGCAATGTGATAGTGTTCTGCAGTGGTGGCCGAATAGGCGATTTTTCGCCATTATCCTTTGAAGGATCGTGTGGCGACTAAAAGTGATCATGGGGACATGTGGGGAATTGGGGAAATAAGAATAGAATTCTTTTCCTTGATTTTTTAGGGATTTTATG